TCAAGAGGCTCTTTAGTTCTTCTTCACTTTCTGCCATTAGGGTGGTATCGTCTGCATATCTGAGGTTATTGAAGATTCTCCCTACAATCTTAATTCTGGCTTCTGATTCTTCCAGCCTGGCATTTCTCATGATGTACTCTGCATATAGGTTTAGCAGGCTTACTGCACAACAAATGCAGGCCCATTTGCCTAGATAGGCACTCCTTTCATGTGTGACAATGTGATGTGCCACTTTTTATTAATTGCATTTTATAATTTTCATTGTTTTTCGGTTCTTTACTTTTTTGGTCATTTCATAACTTGACAGAGGACTTGAGTGATTAGGCAGAAGTATAAGGACAAAAAAAAAAAGAATAATAATAAATCATCACAATGATGGGTCTGTGTAGATTAGCAAGGCCACATGACTAGCTTTACCTTCTGTTCCAAAATCCACCTGGAATTGGATTTCGGTCTCTACCATCTTAGACTTCTCTTGGACTCCTGCATATCAAGATATCTTTAAGTACAGCATTCAGGAGGAGGCAAGGGCTGCTGGAACATTAGCAGTTCAGCTTCAGTTAGTCCCTATGAATTAACCTTGGGGGCAATGTGACTGGGGTGCCCGCTTCTGTTATGGATGATTTATAGTTGGTCCTAGCATTTAGGGTTTTACTTAGTATTAGAATCAAAGAAAAATGGAGTTCCCACCACTTTGAACATGGACTGTTGTCTATTCCTCATCTGTTTCTCACCATTAACCAAGCAGCCACCCTCTTGATCTGACTGGAAATAATAAAAATGAGAATAAAAAAAATAATGAAGATAAAAAATCTTTGTCTCACCAAAGAAAGGGAGTAATTTTTCATGTTTCAGGTGATAAAGGATTAATTGGTTTCAACTATATAATAATACTGAGTGGTTGAACCCTCCCTTTCTTGAAGCAGGAAGTTCCTCTGTCACATATACACAGAGAGAGACACACACAAACATGTGCCATTTATTTTATAAATCCAGAAGAATTTTCTGTTTAAAACGCAGATGTTCATTGGCATTCAAGATGTGTTTCCTTGCATCTTTCATAAATCTGCCATCGGGT